TCGCTTGGCTCCCCCCCCTCCCCCCCCCCAGGCCAGGTTGGGAAGGAGGGGAGTCTCTCCCCTGCAACAGCAGCCACAGAGCTGAGGCTGGAAAGGAGGGCCATCTCTCCCCAGCAGCCGCAGCCCTGGAGCTGGGGAAAGTCGCCTCTTTCTCTGGCTGTCGCAGCCCTGCACGTCCCAAATTCCCCCCAGCCCCTCTTCTTACCCCACTGCCCCCTACCCCTAGTCCCCCCAAGGCCACCACCTCACCTTACATGTACGTCTTCTCCAGGGTCCAGGCACCTAATTAGTGGAGCCACACCTGCGCGGCTCCATTAATTAGGTGGGTGGCCCTTAATTCTCTCGTGTGCGACTGCCTAGGCACGCACCTTAGAGGGAACTATCTGCAGACCACCTGAATGGAGCTCATGGACCACTGGTGGACTGCAGTTTGAGAATCTCTGTTTTAGGGTCACCTAAAGCAAGACATCTGTTCTCATGGTAGTCAGTATAAATTATATAAAGAAACACTGAAGTCAAAGTTGAAAGTATATCAAGTTGACCAGAGCAAGTGGGAAGGAAGAGCCCACAATAAAGCCAAGTGGCAGCAGATTTGTCATGTCACTGTTATATGCTTTGAAGCAAGGCCCATTAATACCTTAAGTGAAAAACAAGACTAGCACTAAGTAAGGAATAAAAGCAATGGTCAAGGATAATCCTGTCTGTCTCATATGTAACCATGTTTGCAGTTCCTGTATTGGTCTGCCTCACATATACGTGTTCACCTACAGTGTTTGCTGAATCCTTGTACATAGACATTGACATGAGACTCCATTATCATCGTATTCAAGTTCATAGACAGCAATGTTGTATCTATAGGCTGGTACTATGTCCACAAGTACCCAAAAAATCATGAGTTGGGCCTCTCAAAATCATGAGATTAGCTTAAAAATCATGATGTTTGAAAAACAAAAACAAAAAACAAACTTACATGCATCTTGGGTTCTTTTAACTTGATTTCTGGTTTTTGGGCCTTCAAGATTTTCCTCTGCAGTCACAACGTCTAGATTTTTTTATTTATTTATTTTAAGGAAAGCTGAGTCTCTCAAATAAATCACATGAATCCAGGAGCTGGGGCTTTTTAAAACACCAAATATTATGAAACGTGTGATGAGATTACCAGAGTTGGCAACACTGTTGTTGCCTCTTTGTTGATACAGCAAATATTGTTTGGACAAGGCATGCACTCTACAATGTTTGTGCCATATTGATTTGATTGCTGGACATAACAGGAGATCAATCAAAAGTAAAAATGTTTGTTAAAATATGTTCAGGTTGAGATTTATAGGGATACTATCAACTTAAAAAGAAAAACTTCCATGTGAAAGTGGTTTACTTACTATTACTAAAACACTTAAGATGATAAAATTTTTTTTTCAGTTTACTATGCACTTTGTCTAGTCATTTCAATTATGGAAATTCAAACTTGTGATTCCCAATATAACTTGGTCCCCTTGTATGTGTATATTTTGTTAAAATGTAAGAAAGGGACAAGGACTGTATCTTTGTTCTATGCAGCATCAATTCAGATATTAGTGCTTAACAAATACTACATGGTGTTAAAGTTTATGCTTTAATATATATGTGCCATGTGACCAAATTAAGATTGATGTGAAAATAATAATTTTGAATTTCCTAACTTTTGTGCATTTTAAAGTCTCAACATTTTATTGTCACTTTTTGCATTGCATTTTCTTAAAGTAAAATAAATTCTTGACTGTGGTAAAAAACTTGACCTCAGACTCAAATAAAGGTGGCACATTCAAATAAGCACATGCTTTTGGCCTCTGTCTCTTTAAAATGTGATACAAAGTAACATGGTATGTGAATGCCATTTTCAAAAAATGTTCTGGCTCTGTCAAAGATCAGATGAATAAATGTGGCGGATTTCATTTTTAAAACATTGCTACCCTGAGTTATTCAAGTGTAAAAGAAAGCACCTGGAAAAAAAAAAAGTTCACTGTTGAAAAACACTTCAAACTCATCTCTTAAAATCAGCCAAAGTGAACTGTGTCAAGCTTTCAACAACAAATTCACCAGGTGACAAAAGCCAGGTCAAAGTTAATTTAGGCTGAGAACCACTGTTCTAAACATTTAACACACACACACACACACACACACACACACACACACACACACACACACACACACACACACACACACACACACACACACACACACACACACACACACACACACACACACACACATATATATATATATATATATATATATATA